ACAAAAGCGAAATGACACAACAAAAGAAACACAGAAAACAAAAGCGAAAGTACACAGTGCAGCTGCAATAAAATGTAAGGCTCTCTCTTTCTTTACAGAGGAGCTGCCCCGCTTTGGTCGCGGATCCCACTCACCTGGGACTAACCCCGCTTTGATCGCGGATCCCACTTACCTGGGACTAACCGGTGCACCACCCCTGACTGCTGAAAGTTCTGGTTCCCGGGTTTCGGCACCACTTGTCGCGACCCCTTGCCCGCAAGGAAGACGCAACTCGGGAATCTTCTTTCAACAGTTTATTCAGGCCCTTGATATTTCTTCTTCTCTCTCGGATGCCCCTCCCAGCCTTAATAAAGCATCCCAAGCCCCAATGCAAAGCTGCCGCGTGGAGCTTTCTCACAGGGTGGTGAAAAATCATGTGCCAACTCTCCCAGATAAGGAGTTGTTTGTCACAGACCACAGCGGAGCCAGCGTCATCTTGTAATGGTGACCATAATCTGCAGAAACGGCAGAAGCGGCTCACCATAACAAACTAAATTGATAGGGACAATTCCAAGTGGCTCAGAGACATGAATGCACAAATGAGCCATCATGGGCCTGAAGGGCCACGCCGATTTTAACTACCAAGAAAACAAACCAGGGGACCCATGCCACTCCAAATGCTCATTTGTAGGAAGGAGAATAACGAGCTCTTGGCACCCTACTTCTTTCTTCCCACCTGTGGCTTTTACACACAGTGAGTGGTGTGTATAATACTCCAGGGGCCAGCAGCCAGCTCGAGGGATACGGGGCACAGCCCTGAGCATCCAGAGAAGGCAGCCAGTCCCCGTCCCTCCAGGAATTCCCATTTCCAGGCCTTTACACTTCCTGCAAGTCTCTTCTGTGTTTACTGACAGGAGCCAGCCACACTGTGGCCTCTGGAAAGGTCAAGGCCCCATCAGTCCACTCACTGATATAATCTCTCAGGGCCCGGAAGGCACTGTCTACCTGGGCGTTTGCTAGCAGCTCCTGGTGGATGCTCAGGCTCCAATCCAACCTCTGCAGGGGCGTTCCCAGCTCCTTCCCCACTCACACCCTCCACACTGGGCAGCTCAGTCCCCGCTCGGTCCCAGAGCCCTGGAGCCTCCCTGAATCCTTTTCTCAGGTCTCATTAAATCGCACTTTTCAAGTGAATCACTCTTGAGTGTATGTGCTATATTTATAGCATTGGGACCATACCGTGATATACTATTAGTATTTAAAAACAGATTCAGTGTTGGAGTCAGCATAAGAACTTTCCAAACATGTCGGGCGATCGGGTGAGACACACTACTGTCCCTTCAGGTAGTGTGCAGTATCAGTGTTTAGCATAAGCCTGTCTCGACTACAGAGCGCGGCTCATCTGAACCTCGAATCTAGGCTGGCACTGCCTTGGACTTTTTTAACTCTCTTCTGGCCCTTACTTATAGAGTATATTAAATGACTTACATAAAATATACCTTCTTTTCCATATACGGAGTCCTCACAGCCAGGCGCTAAGCAACTCAGCCAGACCCTGTCTCTAAATAAAATACGTCAGGGGCTGGGGAGGGGGCTCAGGGGTTAAGCGCCCTTGGATCCCATCCCCGGTTCGCCGTGGGCCTGGAATTTGAGTTTAACTGGCTCTGCCGGTTCATGGCCGCGTCTACCCACTGCTATGGGACAGATCACCGGGCTGGTGTGACTCAAAGAGCCGAATCTGGAACACCCCGGCCCTCCGGTCTCTGCAGCCCAGGTCCCGCCGCGAAGCTGGCTAACCCGGGGCCCACGGCGCACCGGGAGCATCCTTCTGCGGCCGCGAGACGCCTTCCACGGCCACCGAATGGGGGGTCGGAATTGCGCGGGGGCGTGGCGCGCACTCGGCTCTGGGGGCGCTGGCCGCCGGGTGTGCCTCCGGGAGGACGTGGGATACCCCGCGCCCCCGGGCCCAGCTGGTCTGAGGCCCCACACCCCTGGCTGCCGCCACCACGCCCCACGCAGCCTGCAGTCTGTCACTGACCCACAGCCCCGCCCCTGGGCTGCCGCGCTGCACCTGCCCGGGTGGTCCCTCTCACAGCTAGAGAGCTCCCTGGCCTTTCCCCATCAGGCCGCGTGCACCCGCCACCCGCCAACCACAGCGCCTTCCGCCAGGTGCGCCCTGCACCCCTCGGCCTGGGGCCCTGGAGAGCGCCGAGGCTGTGGGTGGTACATCCTTCCCTGAGCACCGGAGAGCAGACCTTAGGGCACAGGAAACTGCTTGCAGCTGTGAAATGCGTCCTTTTCCAAAATAGAACATATCCAAGGGCTGCTATAGGGTAAGCGTATTTTTCCTGTGGCCCCTTGCGGAGGTGACTAGGCTTATGAACTGGGCAGGGTGTAGGTGGCAGGGCAGTAGGCGCCTCTGCACCCCCTTCTCCCTGCTTGTAAACCCACCCACCAGAGCCTCGGAACAGTGAGAAGCACAGCAGACATTCCAGGAGAGAAAGCCACACGTGCCCCTTGTGTTTACCACGTCAGCATTTTCCCATGTTGACAACCATCCTCATGAAGTTATTACAGATTGGCATTAAATGTGGTATTTTGTTGTTTCTTCCGCGGTAATGGTCACATGTGATCACACATGTGATCTGGAGGAGACAGAGAATAGTGAAGAACACAAAGCTCATGGTTGGCCACCCAGGACCTTTGGGAAGACACTCTTCCATATCCCATTTTCTCCTGAACCTCATCTGCACTTGGCATATTTAGTCCTCAGAGGGTTTGATGCTGCGTATTTTCGTACAGTTGAATATTATTATGTGATGGGGTGGGGAGTATCGATCCCACCAAGCTCCACTTTTGGGTACTTCGTAGTGAATCTTGATGCCTAAATCCTTATCCATATTTTGAATAAATTCCACACTGCAAACTTCTGGTACATTTTCTTTTGTTTGGGTACTGGATATTGAACCCAGGGGCACTTAACCACTGGCCACATCTCCCAACCCTTTTTAATTTTTATTTTGAGACAGAGTCTCACTAAGTTGCTCATGGCCTTGCTGAGGCTGGCTTTGAATTTGTGATCCTCCTGCTTCAGCCTCCCGCACCACTGTGGCATGCTCTTGATATACAAGTCTCTGTAGTGCTTTCCAGAAAGGCCTTGCCTAGGGTGGGGTGCAAATCCCTCCCAGGGAATCAGGGTGATTGTGGGAGACGAAGGTCTTCAATCATCACAGAACCCCAGCGTCTTGAGAATGCTCATCAGAGCCACAGGGAAGACAAGGATCAGACTCACTCACTCCCACTCACTCCCAGACCCTGTGGCTCTGATGAGCATTCTCAAGACGCTGGGGTAACCATCTGGGTCACCGACTTCATGAAGCACCAGAATACCCACTTTAAGGAGGGGCCCTTCCTGTATCCCTAGTGTGATAACTTCCTACACAGCTCCATCCTCAAAGCAATACAAGACCCACCTGCCAGTTGGTGTAGTGGTACACAGATATAATCCTAGCAACTCAGAAGGCTGAGGCAGGAGGATCACAATTTTGACTTCACTGCATGCAACTTAGCAAGACCTTACCTCAAAATAAAAACTAAAAAGAGCTAGGGATGTAACTAGGTGGTAGAATGCCCTGGGTTCCTTATACCCACCCACCCATCCCCCCAAAGAGAGAGGCACTGTCTTACCATGTTGCCCCAGGCTGGCTCAGAACTCCTGGGCTAAGGAATCCTTCAGCCTCCATCTCCTGAGTAGCTGGGACTATGGTGTACCCCTCTGTTCTCAGCTTGCCCCTGGTCTTCATTTCATTATAGATATCACAGAAGGAGGTGAAGGCAAAAGCACGGGAGGACAGCTCCAACGGTGGAGGATGTAGCAGGACCGCTACCTTGCCATCCTCCAGTCAGGCCAGCCAAGCCAGTCACCTGGGAACTTGGCCGTTTGGAACTTTTTCCTTCTTAGAATGTACAAGGCACCTTTAAAGAAAAACCAGTATGTTTGTCTTTGTTTTTATCAGTGTGTTGATTGTGAGAAATCATCTTTTCATCATTACCCTTGTTTTAGGGCTTAGGAAATGTAAAGTCTTTAACTCTAGTGTGAACCAGCCAAACTTTTTCAAGTGTCTGCTTGTAAAGAAAACATAACCAGATAGGGCTTTTTTTCTGGAACAACAGGAATTCTTATCATCTATTTTCAGAGTTGTTTCACTCCAAGAAAAAAAAAATCACCTTGTTTTGAAACTTTTCCTCAGCTTCAAATCCAGCTTGCAAGTCTTGAGTAATGGGAAACCAAGTGCCCTCTCTTAAAAAGGGCAAGAGCCTGGAGCTCCGCTTGGTTTTCTTAGACCCCCCCCCCCACCACCACCACCACCACCACTCCTGGATGTGTGATGTATACTGGAGAGAATGAGAAGCTCTCTGCTCATGTGTTCACTGCTGCACCCCGGGCCTGGTGCGTGGCAGGCTCTGGTGAATGTTCAGAAGATGATGATCAGTAAGGAAGGTACATCAGCTTTGAAGATTATGCTGCTGTTCAAATGCAGTTTGATAATTACATAGCAAAGTGTAAAACAGATGCAAAATGTCAGCCTCTTGCACGTGATGCGTTTTATACCATGTAATAAGAAGAGCCTGGGAACCCTGCACGGCGGGGTCATCTGTTGGGCTTCTGGGGAAAGCTTCTGTTGTAAAATGTGAGAGCGGTTATTAATCACCGCTCTGCTTCACCACCTTGAAGCCCAAGGTCCCGTTTCCAGTACGAAGGCGAACGCAGGCGCTCGGGGAGTTCGCCGGACCGGCCGACTGAGGTCGCCCTGCCAAATGCCCTCCAGCCAACTTAGTCCTGGGGTTGGCCATCCCTGGGAAAGGGCGGATGGCTCCAGGATGGGAACTCCACGCCCGGCCTCAGACTAAAATCCACCAGCGTAGAGGCGCGCGGCTTTCGCGCGCGGCCCTCTGGGAGTAGTAGTTCGACGCCCTTCCGCGCAAGCGCAGTTAAGGCTGGCGGAAGTCAGAGCGTCGAGGGAGCGTGGGGCGGGAGGGCTTCCAGCGGAGAGGTGGCCTGAGCACAGAGACGATCGGAAGCCTGCCGCCTTCTGGGAGTTGTAGTTCAGCGTCCACCCGCCTGTACAGGGGGAGTCCCTCTCGGTGTGGACAGCGACCTTAGGAAGTGGAAGAAGAGGAATTAGCCTGTGTGGGTCAGAGACGTGGCGCTCGGATCCCGAGTCTTGCTGTCGTTACTGGACGGTCCGGGTAGGTCTGGGCCAGCCCTGAAGGTACCGGAAGTGCGCGCGGGTCTCTGGGAGATGTAGTCTGACGCTCGCGGGCGCAGGCGCAGTCACGGGTTGTGGCGGCCACGGCCTTTATCGTGCCTGTCCGCAGTGAGTGGGAGGCCCAACCGGCCTGGGCCTGCGAGCCTTCCCTGAGGTCCTGGCGCGGGCGGCGTTGGCCCGCGCGAGCGCGCGCGTGTGTCGTCCGTTCCGCCTCCTCAGGCTTGGGCGTCGTTTCGGGGCTGGCAGGGCCTGGACCGGGCTTGGGCCACAGGCCGGAGCCCTCTGCGACGCGTCAGCCGGACCCGCAGCCCCCTGCCCCGGGACGCTCTGTGGAGGGGATGGCGTAGGCCGAGCCCCGACCGCGAGGCCATCCTGGAGCCCGCCCTTCCTGAGCGGCTTCTGCCCCCAAGGGGAGAGGGGGGACACCGGGAGCCCGCGATTTTAGCCCCAGTCTGGGACCCAGAAAGCAAACCTGGGCGCGCCGCCGGGGCCAGCCCGTACACCGACCGCGCGACCCCGCTGCCGACCCCCGGGGCCCGCGCGCCGCGGTGGGAAGCCCGGCTTCGCCTCTGCCCCGCAGCGCCCGGGGCGGGCGAGGAGGAGGAAGCCCCGGTCCCCGGCCTGCGGGGTTAGGGAGGCGCCTCTCACCTAGGGCCCTGGCACGGGCCTCTGCGGGGCGCTCCCCAGAGCAGACTTCCCGCCCAGAGCAGCAGCCCTCGCCGGTTTACCGGGGCCCTTAATTCCTACAGTCCCCATCATGGCCTTCTACGCTGAATGCGGGGCCATTTTATGGAAGAGGGCAACTGAGGCACACCAACGGGGGCCGGGGGACCCGAGCTCTTGGGCTTCCTGTCAGTAAAGCTGCTCCTGGAAATGACCTGTGCAGCCTCTCTGGAGAATGTGCCCAGCCTGCCCTCGGTTTCCCTACGCGGAGTGGGCAGGACAGTGCAGAGAGCACCCTCCACAGCACCAGTGCTGGGCCCAGCGCCCCACGTCCCACAGCCAGACCTTTTACCTGCACCCACGAGCTTTAGGCTTGGCATCTCTGGTCACTGCAGAAACCACCCAGAGCTGGACCTGACTGTTCCCGCAAGAGGCCAGAAACACGGGGAATGGCTGCTGGGCTCCTCATCACCAGGGCGGGGGGTAGGTACGCTTCTGTCCTCTCAGGGCCCCACCTCGGAAGCCTGTTGTGCCTCAGCCTGTGCCCTGTCATTCCCCTGCCAGGAGGGCACTCCAGCCAGCTCCACCTCTCTCCCCAGCTGCCTCCTCACCTGTAATGGCAAACCTGAGGCCACGGAGTTCATGGCCAGCACAGACCTTCCGGCTCCTAGTTGTGGTGCAAGAAGGTTAGGTGAAGGTGCTCGTCCTCTGGAGATTCTGATTCCAAGTTGGCACCTTGAATGTGGCCAGCTCTGTGGGGAAAAGAGCTCCAGGGCAGGAGCAGAAACACAGAGACCTTTCCTGATGGCCCTAATCCTACCCACAAACCTGCTGGGAGGAACTAGCCTCTCTGGGGAGTATTGGAAAACACATGGAACAGGAATTGCCCCATGAACCCCACCTTTTCTGAAGACCATGCAGTTACCCTAATGTTTAAGTGCCCGAAATTGAAGAGTGGGGTCCTGCTGGAAAGGGATTTTCCCAGACCCTCCAGATTGGGTCAGTGCAGAGAACTTAGTTGCAACGGGGCATTGTAACCTAAGATGTGAGGTTAACTAGTGGGATTGTTCTGATACCAACTCTGAGACTTTTCTCCAAATTGTTGGAAGACAGGTGAGAGGCTGTTCCTACACCAATGAGGAACAGGCCATAGGAAACTCTGACCCCAACCTCCAGACCCCATCTAGCCCAGCTGTTGTTCCCATTCACCACCTGCCCCCACCAGCAGTTAGTGCCAGGTTTGACTCAGCTGAGGACACTCACGATATTTCAGGAGCAAGTGACCTTTGAGGACATGGTTGTGGATTTCACCCACGAGGAGTGGGGGCAACTAGAGCCTGCCCAGAGGACCCTGTACCATGATGTGATGCTGGAGACCTTCACACTGCTGGTCTCTGTAGGTAAGGCCACACCCATGTCCTCAGTGGTCTTCAGACACAACAGTCACTTCTCCTGTGTTAAAAATGGGGCTAGGAGGGCTGGGGGTGTGGCTCAGTGGTAGAGCGTTTGCCTAGCATGTGAGAGGCACTGGGTTCAATTCTCAGCACCACATATAAATAAATAAAGATCTGCCAATAACTAATAAAGTGTTTTGGGAAAAAAAAAAAATGGGCCTAGGACTTGGCTTTGTTTTCTTTTCCCTTTGAAAAGATTGAACCCCGGTGTGCTCTACCACTGATCTACATCCCCAGCCCTTTTATGTTTCCTTTTGACACAGGGTCTCACTAACTTGCTGAGACTGGCCTCAAACCTGTATCCTCCTGCCTTAGCCTCTTGAGTGGCTGACATGACAGGTGTGCACCACCTCTCCTGGCTAGGGCTCAGCTTTAAAAGCAATCCTTGGGCTATATCTTGAGTTTCAGGAACTTGACTTTTTTAGTGTAGAGAATATCAAATAGGATTAATATCAACAGGTTACAGACCCAACCTGAAATCACGAGAAGTCTTTCAGTGGTGCTCTTGGGAGCTCCTCACTCGGCCTTCTGTGTCTTCGTCTGTCTTCATCTGGTTGGGCTGCTCTACCAAAGCACCTTTGACTGGGTAATTTATAAACAGTAGAAACGTGTTGCTACAATTCTGTAGTCTGGGAAGTCCAAGATCAGGGTGCCTCCTGCAGCTGCACATGGCAGACCTGGGGCAAGGGAGCGCCTGTGCACTTCTCTTGGGCACTCAACCCATTCACAGGTGGAACCCTCATTTCAGAGGCCTCACCTCTTAATGCTGTCATAATGAGCGTTAGGTTCCAACATAACAACCTCGGGGGAGATCAACACTCAGACCCCAGCAGCCTCTTTTTTTTTTGATACCCAGGATTGAACCCAGGGGCGCTTGACTGAGCCACATCCCCAGCCCTATTTTGTATTTTATTTAGAGACAGGGTCTCACTGAGATGCTTAGTGCCTCTCCATTGCTGGGGCTGGCTTTGAACACATGATCCTCCTGCCTCAGCCTCCAGAGCTGATAGGATTTACCCAACAGCCTCTTTCTGTCCGAGTTTCCAGATGGGCTATTGAAGATGACAAGACAGCTCCCAGGGTGCCATTCTTGTGTGCAAGACCAGTGGACAAGGCAGTCTGGCCAGAGTCTCCAGGTTGCTATGGCTGGCTGCCAGGTCCCCTTCACAGTGCCACTGTTGCCAGCTGACAAGGGAGGAAGCAGAACTCTGAGGTCCACTCAGGAACTGGGGGTGGGCTCAAGGGTCAAGAGTATGGACATGGAGTCCCTTAAGAACACTGGGCTCTTGGGCTGGGATGTGGCTCAAGTGGTGGCGCGCTCACCTGGCATGCATGCAGCCCGGGTTCGATCCTCAGCACCCCATACAAACAGGGATGTTGTGTCCACCGAAAACTAAAAAATAAATGTTGAGGTTCTCTCTCTCTCTTAAAAAAAAAGAAAAAAAGAAAAAAAGAACACTGGGCTCTTGACATGACTGCTGTAGCCACCTGGAAGACAAGGTGGAGTGGTCGGGGATCAGCAGGTCATGGGAGGCAGATGCTCACTCCACAGGTCTCCCTGAGCAGGACACTGGTTCCCAGGGCCAGAGGTCCTCTTCCTGCTGGAGCAGGAGGCCAAGCTGTGGGCAGTGGACTCTGGAGATGCCCAAGGCATGTGCCCAGGTGAGACAGAGCCTTGCAGGGCCTGTCCACCTGCACCTCCAGGTTTCTCTCTCTCTCTCTGCTTTCTAGTTCTGCACAGTAGATCGGCTGCTCTCCAAGTGATCACCCACCCAGCACTCCTGGCCATGAGACTGAGTTGCCACCGTCAGGGCACCTACAGTCTGGGGGAGGGGCAGACAGTTAGTACAGCGGTGACAGCAGTGTGAGATGACTACAGGTTGTGCGAGTGCCCAGAAATGAAAGCAGGAAGGCAGTGGGAGGACAGCAGGAGGATGGACAGCTTCAGGGAGGGGTGGGAGCCAGAGCCTGGGCTAGACATCTGAGCGAGCAGCATTCCAGGCAGAGGAACCCAAGTGACACATCAGACAGCTCTGTGTGATGTCAGTTTAAACCAGTGTCCTTTATTGACTGGTCAAGGGCCCAGCACTGCCTGGGTCATTCTGCTCTTTGTCCTTTTGCTCTGCTTCTGGGTTCAGCGAGCTGTGTGCAGGAGGTGGGTGTGTCCAGGCCCTATCTGAAGAGTGGCTTGTCACCAAGTTCTGAGAGGCTTGGCCAGTGTGGGAGGGTCACAGAAGGGTCCTCCAGCCTCAGAGCAGCCAGCTCTCGCCCAGCGTAGCTTCCTGTTGCTGCTGTAACAAATCACCATGAACTTGGTGGCTGAAAGCAGAGCAGATTCTCACACAGCTCTCGCTGGCCCTGATGGAGCGCACGGGGCGTGTTCTTGGGGCTGCTGGGAGGAATTCTTTTTTGCCTTTTCCAGCCCCTAGAGGCCACCTGCATTCCCTGGCACAAGGCCAGGTACATAGAGTTGGCAGAGGCTGGTTTCTCCATCCCTTGGTTCCTCCTTGCCTGGGGGTTAGGATGTGGACATCCTGGGAGCCGTTATGCAACTAACCACACACAGCCTTTTTTTTTTTTGAAGTTTCACTGGAGCATAACATAGTATGGGGAAGGCGCCCACCTCACACCTCTAGCCAGTCTGAGAGCCATGGCTGTGGGGGAGGGCAGGGCACCAGAGCAGGAGGACAGGGGTACACTGCTTCATCGGCTGAGGCCCTGTGGTTATTGAGGTGGGCAGATGCCCTGCCTTTGAGGATCCCACTTAGTGAGACAGATAAGCCAGGTCCAAGCGCTCCACTGCACCGAGGTCACACATCTGTCCTCCCAGTGTCGGCTGTGTCTGGTTTGGGGGCCTGCCGAGTTCCTTCATGTCTGAGCTGAGCTGTGGAGGAGACACCAGATGGGTATTGTGGTGGAAGGTGTCTGGGGTCCTTCCCATGTGGCACTGTTCTCTGGCCTCCTGGCACTGTGGGAGCTGCGTAGCTGGCTGCCTTCACTGCTCTGGCCATCACTGCTCGGGAGCCTGGTGCCTCTGGGAGTAGCCCCTGAGCACTGTCTCCTTGGCCGCCTTTCCCCACCCCTCTTCCTGTTCCTCTCCTGGTTTGCACAACATGAAAAACTTTTTGTACCTCAGAATTTTCAAGACCAGTTTAATTCTGCTCTCTCCCTAAATACTACAAACTCTTTCCCCCTAGAAAGGGATCAAGGGACATTTCCACTTTTTTGTTTCTTCTAGACTTAGAAACCAGACAAGAAATCAGCCCTTCTGCCCCAAAGGAAAGCACCTCAGAAGAGCCGTCCAGCAGTGTTGTTCTGGTGCAGACTCCTGCGGGGTAGTGTGTGGCCCTTCCAGGGGAGGACACCGCAGGTCCCTGGGAGTGGAGTCCTGAGAGGCGCGAGCCGGGAGACGTGGCAGCCCTCAAGCCTGGGGGAAGGGGTCTGGGGGAGCCTTGTGTCCTAGCCCTGATCTCCCACCTCATCCAGCGACTCCTGAACAGCCAGGTCCCCACATGTGGAGAACACCCAGAAAGAGGCAGAAGCTGGACTCAAAGGTAAATGCACAACAGAAAATCTGTGCAAAAGAGAAACTCTGCAGATGCCGGGAATGTGAAGAGCCTGGCCAATGTCGCCGGTGTGGAAAAGGCTTCCGGAACAGCTCTGCGCTCACCAAGCACTGGAGGGTACCCCCCCCCCCCCCCCCGGGAAGAAGCCCTATCGGTGCCCTCGGTGTGGCCGGACCTTCAACTAGATGGCCCCGCTGACCCAGCACAGGAGGACGCACGGGGCGCCAAGCCCCACGCGTGCGGGGACCGTGGGAAGGCTTCGGTTTCAGCCGGTCCCTCTCCCAGCACCAGCGCGCGCACTCGGGCCACAAGCCCTCCGCCTGCCGCAAGTGCGGCAAGACCTTCAGCCGGGCCACCCAACTTGTCCAGCACCAGGGGGTCCACCCCGGGAGAGGCCGAACGAATGCAGCCAGTGCGCGCGGCAGCGCCTTCAGCCAGAGCCACCGTCTCGTCGGGCACCGCAGGACCCGCGGGGGGGGGGAAGCCCGAGGCGTGCTGCGGCCACCTCCTCCCCGGGGAAGCCCTGCGCCTGCGGGGACTGAGGGAAGGCCTTCGCCCACAGCTCCTCCCCGACCCAGCACCCAGAACTCTCACTGGGGAGACGGCTGCATGGGTGCTGGGGACAGGGGAGGCCTTAAGCCACAGCTCGTCCCACTCAGACTCGGCCTGTTCCTTCTCACAAGATGCAGCACCCACTCCTCGTTCTCAGACGGAAATGCCTAGCGCCACCAAGGGTTAGGTTCTAAACAGCAGGGAAAGGTGGAAACCATCAACCTTGAGGACCCTGAGCCTCGAGAAGAGAAGAGAAAAAAGGAATGTCTGGGCCTGGTGATGCCACGCGTCCAAGCATTCAACAGACTGAACCAGAGATTCAAAGGCCTGAGAAATTCAACAGACACCTTTCAGGTAAGAAAACCAAATGAAGTCAGAATTTGCTGTTGTTTACATTATATTCTTTCTTAAAGGGATGTTTATGAATATTCAGGTTGACTCTGATAATCCTAAAGAACAGCAGCATGTTCCAAAAATGAGAATGGCATTTTTGTGGAATCCCTTGGATACTTGTCTTTGACAGTACAAAGCTGGTTTGTGTGTAAGTTGCTTGTTCTGGGTATGTAACAGCCAATCCCAGACACTTCTAATTCCATATGCCAATGTATCAGCATACTATAAACAGAATTTACATCCCTCATCTCGTTTTGCAATTTAATTTCTATGTGCAATGGGATTGAAAAGCTGTGTATGGGAAGACTTGAAACATAAAGCTGCTTCCATGGAATGTCTCAAGATTCTGAGAGGGCTTTGCTGCAGGACTCACAGTCATTAGAAATGCTGATATTACGAAAAGGGGAGGGTTTACTCCTTTGTTCAGCCATCATCTCATGCTCAGTGGCACTTCACATTGGTACTCTGTTTTGTTCTAAGATTTCTCTTTGAGGAAGTGTTCAAGTTAATCTTTTCTTGAAATGTGTCCTCATTGATTCTTCATCCTGGTATTCTACTCCCCCCACCCCATTCATTAAGTTTCTATTTTTATGTTTAATTTAAAAGCTCACAGTATTTCATTAAACCCTGGATCCACAAATAGCAGTATTCCTGACAACTACAACCATGACATGGCTGTTGCCTTCTTCATCAGAAATAGCCTCGGGCACGGTGACGCACACCTGTAATCCCAGTGACTCTGGAAGCTGATGCAGGAGGATTATAAGTTCAAGATCAGCCTGGGCAACTTTAGCAAGACCCTGTCTGAAAATAAAAAATAAAAAGGGCAGGGGATGTGGTTTACTAGTAAAGCACCCCTGGGTCCCCCAGTAATGGGGGGGGCGGGGGGAATAATTGCATTGTTTGGTTTGGGTCCTGGGTGGTAATCAGTTGTGCTTGCATCAGTCTGATTTCCTCAATCACTGCGCTAGCATATAAATTCCTAGTGAACTTGAAATTGCTTCTGGGGGAAAATGTTGCAAATAGTCTTTCAACACTGCTCCTTGTGAAAAGCCTTTTGGGAATTAATTTCACTTTCCTTGTAGTTGTTTGCAGTGCTGGGGGTGGAACCCAAGACTTCATGAATATTAAACAAGGACTCTACCAGTGGGCTGCATGCATCCCCAGTCCTTCACTGTCCTTTAAAAGCTGCAAAAGCCTGCCAACAGAACCACTGCAAGCTATCTGGGTAACTGTATTAAAATATTCTGGTCCCATTCCAAAAGCAAGAAGTGGGCACAATGTGCACACCTGTAATTCCAGTTACTGAGGCGGCTGAGGCAGGGCGATCAAAGTTTGTGACCAGCTTTGGCAACTTGATAAGACTGTCTCAAAAATTAATCAAAGGGTTGAGGATGTAGCTCTGTGATAGAGCACCCCTGGGTTCCATCAAAAAAAGAAAAATAGAAATAGATAAAATTAGCTCAATATGTACCCCCCTACATGCACCACATTTCCATTCTGACATGTCAGTATTAAAAAACTGAGATACTTTACTTCTCTAGTGTGTACTTATACTCAGTGCCTCCGAGTTCACTAGCCACACTTCAGGTGCTCCCTTCACATGTGGCTGGCCAGTGGCAGCATGGTGACTTAGGTCCTCTGGTCAGCTTCTTGACCTTCCCTTTGTGATGGGAAGCCTTGCTTTCTCTGAGTTGATTAGTACCTCGATAAGTTGCTGAGGCTGGCCATCTTCCTGCCTCAGCCTCCCGAGGGACTGGGATTACAGGTGTGCGCGGGCCCGTCTTCAAAGAAGGCAGATGTGCTGGGTGTGTTGGTGCTCAGGAGACTGAGGCAGAAGGATCATGAATTCAAAGCCAGCCTCAGCAAGGCTGAGTGGGAATGAGGGTTGGAAGAGTCTATTTAGGCTTTTTTTATTGCCAGAACCACACTTGGTTTGAGGACAGGCAGAGGGGAATGTGGCTCAGTAACTGGTAGAGATGGGTACCTGGGCCCTTATGAGTGAGGGGCCCACAGTCTCATTTCCCTTCAAGGACTGGAGAGCGGAAGCGGATCCCTGGGTTACAGCAAGAAGCAGGGGCCCCTCCCACCAACACACATAGGCAACAGTCAGGATGTCCAGCTGTAATGTGAGTGAAGAAATAAATACTTTATTACGTCAAGTCTGTGACTCGGGGGTTGTTACACAATTGCTGGCTCAAACACAGTGACAGAAAGAGGCACCGTTTATCTACAGGAGCAATTAAATTTATGCTCAGGCAACAGAAACAATACTATAATCTGAGATTAAATGCAAAATCAAGACACCTCACGGAGCCCAAGGAGTTAAGTTCCCTTTGCTCAGGCAGACAGAAGCTTCCTCAACCTTTGTTAGTGTTTCCAACCTACTGCAATCACCCCCTGGTAAGAGACATCCTACATAGAAGCCAATTCTCACATTTAGATACACAGCTGGAACTCCACAAAATGATACTGCCTTCACTACGTGATGCATTCTGACCTACTTTATTCTACTTCATTGCTTGGTAATGCCGTTGGCCACCCACTAGTTTGATTTCACAATTCACTGATGGGCTGGAACCCATAGTCAGAAAACTGCATACTAGGCTCCAAGCATTTCGGTGATCTTCGTAAGCCACTCCGTATAGGTAAAGACGCATGAGTGGAACAAGGAAATAGTTTCAGCTTTTCAGGATTCAAAAGTGAACTTGACGTCACATATTTACGAAAGGCCAGAACATCTGGCAAGAATTCTGCCTGAACAAACTTGGGGAGCTCAAACAGGAGCAGTGGAAGTGAAGACTCCAAGACTGCCCACAGAACACGCACACCGGGGACTCGAACTGCACAATGGCCACGGCCGGCACACGGAGGTATACACGTGGCTGCAGGACAGTGGGGTCGGGGTTTCCCGTGGTGGATGAGGTGGGGTTTTCCGTGGGTGCTCTGGCCACATCAGCCCATTTGGGAAACAAGCTGATGTTTGTCCAAAGACCACAGGAAGACCACCCCCAAGTGTCTGGAAGGAGCCCCCATACATTCTGAGATTCCCCGCCAGTCACTGTCACCTCAAGGGACACTGGCCTGGTGGCTTGTCTCCAGGCCTCAGGCCCACCCTCCCCCCAGAGTGAACTCACTGTGGCAGGGCGGGGCCAGGTGCAGAATGGCTCCTGGGGATTCCAGTGCTGGCCGGCAGGGCCTGTCTAGCAGCCCTGGCAGGCGCACAGCTTCTTGCTGCCGTGGCTCCTGTGATGCTCCATGAGGTGCGAGATCCACGCAAAGGCCTCCCCACACTCACTGCAGGGGTAGGGCTTCCCTCCCGACACTCCAGGCTCCTCGGCCTCAGGACTGCCTGAGGCAGAGGTGCCCGCCTCCTGCCCAGCTGGGGGCGTGGCAGCACGGCCATCTGCGTCAGGCTGCATGGCGTCCCCAGGCTGCTGGCTGCTCTGGCTGGAGGCACACTCGGGTCCCTGCTCACCCTCATCCTCTGGGTGGGGCCGCTTGGTCCCAGAGCCTTGTTGTGGGCTGTCTGGACTCGCCTGGCCCTGGTCTTCTTCTGAAGGGCAGGGGACTCTTTGCTTCTGGGAGGGGCTGACGCAGCCTGAATCCTCACCCACAGTGTCTGGCGCCTTCTCGGGCTGCTCCTCCTCCTGGTTGGTATCCATTGGGGGGTCTGCAGGAGTGTCCCCTGCGTCCCCTGCCAGCCTCTCTGATGGCGTTTCCTGTGAGCCACTGTCCTGGCCTGCGGAGCCCTCCTCGCACATGTTCTCTGTGCTTTCTTCCTGCTTCCCGCTGCCTGAAATAAGGTCCACGTGTGAGCAGCCCTGACTAAGCGCTCAGGCCTGGACACTGCCCACGCCGCACTAAGGAAAGAAGGCCTGAGCAAGGAGGGGAAAGGGTGTGGGACACGAGGCCCTGACCTGGCGGCCTCTGTCACCCTCTTCCAGCTCCCTGCTACCTGAAAGAAATGGCCCCTCCTAGCAGCCAAGGGCCGTGTGACCACCAGCATAAGCAGGCAGTGAGCAGGGCCTTCTCCACCCTGCTGCTGGGGAAGTGACCCCAGGAGCAGCCACCCTGACTGCAGGAGGACTGGCATGGAGGCCACACAGCCGTGGTGTCGGGGAATGAGGGCCAGAAAGCCCTGCAAAAGCCCACTGGCTGCACGGGGCCTAAACTCCTGCCCCAGAGCCAGACCTTTGGGCTCTCCACACGGCCGTGGCCTTGTGCCCAGGGACATCAGCATGCAGGAGGCCAGCAGAGCCTCAACAAGTGCTTATACTCCTCGAGTGCACCCCCAAAACCCAGCTGCTGACCTGGGGAGGCCCGGCTAGCACTGGGAGAGACCATGGAGAGTCTCCCCAGGTAGGGAGACTCCAGCCCCAGGTAGGTTCCAGGTGGCCACAGAGGTCCATGCGGCCCTGAAGACCAAGTGGCCACAGCACAGCTCAGCCCAGCAGCCCACACCTCACAAGTAATTCTGCTGTTCTTTCTGGTGACCAAGTTTTAGGGCGGTTGTCACGCAGCAAGAGATCCCTAAGAAATGATGCCTGCTTCCTGCTCCAACACAGGTGAAGCCAAAGCTGGGGGGGTGGGGGAGGGCACCTGCCTGAAAGCAAGGTGCATGCTCTACCCTGCTCACCACTTTCTAAGGTGCCCTTACCTGGGAGGCTGCCTCCAGGTGCCTCTCCTTCCACAAGGGGCTGCTCCTCTGCCTCCAGACTAGATGCAGCATCAGGCTGGGCAAACTGGTACCCTGAGGTTCAACAGACAAAGCAGCTCTTAAGAGGACCAACACAGAAAGCAGCCGGCCTCACTCCCCTAGGCTGGCGGGCCAGGACCAAGCCCCTGGAAAGCTAGGGTTCCAAGAATAAGGCAGGCGGAGGAAGAAGAGGCTGTGCCTGGGTGAGGCTGGAGGGCCCACAACCTGGGTGGTAAACGAGTCTGAGGGGAAGCAAATCAAACATGTAGGAACATAAAACTGGCTGGGGGCGTCGCTCAGCGGTGGAGCATGTGTTTACTGTGCAGGAAGCCCCGGGCCAGCCCCCAGCACAAATGAAAAAACAAAATCAGAACCACAAAGGGCTCAGGAAGCCCCCTGCAAAGGAGGGCTCTGTGGCACCAACTTTTACCAAACAGACCCTTCACCAGGCCCACAGGCTGAGAAGCCTCATCTCTGCACCACAAAGTGGGGAGCACTGGCGGTTGGAAGCTGGGAGAGCTTTCTCAATTCAGAGGCTTCCAATCCCGCAGGCAGGGGCTGCAAGTGGAACCCAGGACCCAGGCAGAACTCAGGTAAGGGTGGGACCTTGGCAAACCAGGCCAAGTTCAGACATTTAAAACATCCCCAGTGTCCCAAGGAAGCCCCCAGGATGGGGTCAGAATCTCCCACCCATCGGGGAGCGCGGGCTGTGGGAGGCGAGCCTCACCCCACAGGAGCAGCTTCCTGTAGCTCTTCATGTTCTCCTCTGCAGGATCCAGGTGGGCCCACTCCTCAGAGTGCAGAGGTTCCTCCGGAAAGGACGGCTGGAACAGAAAGGCAAGGCGGCCCTCGCTGAGGCTTCCACCCAACCCCACGGAGGGCAGGCGGGAGACCCTCCCTGCACTGCAGGGGCAACGCCCTCCTGTGGGTCCTACCCTCAGGTCTCCACCAAAGCAGGCTTCCTGGCCTTGGCAGTGGGCATTCAGGGTCCTAATCCTTGCTGTGGGGGAGTTCATGCCCTGGGAGGGAACAGCATCCAGGGCCAGGAGGGACGGACCCTGTGAGCAGGTCAGCCCCAGCACACCCAAGGGCCCCCACCCACCGTCGGCTGCGCTTTGGCCTCGTCGGTCTTCTCTCCCCCGTTGCTCCCCTGATCCAGGAGCATGGGTTCCAGCGCAGGCCAGGCTGGGAGAAGGCAGGGCAGCGCTGCAGGGAGACATGCTGTCACTGCACGACTCAGAGTGGCCAGGCAGACCTGCGGCCCCCTCACAGGTCCCAGCACACTCACACCACGCAGGCCTGCACCTCACGGGGCAGAGCCACCACAAAAGTGCCAGCTCACGCCATGGAGGAGGCAGTGCCTTCTGCTGCCCTCCAGACGGGCAGGGACCTGGCACGGTACCAGCGCAGGGCCGACGGGCAGGGCAGGCACAGCCTGTGCACCAGAGCAGCTGTGGAGACCACACAGGCACTATCTGCAGTTCCTTGCCCCGAGGGCAGGGTCACCGGGCTGCACAGGGGGTGCCAGGCAGCCAAGGAGCCAGCGACCACAGCCCAGGGAGGACCGCCCCATGAGCAGTGAGCACTGTTTTCCAGGAGACAAGCAGCCGACTCTGCAAGCATGCGCAACGTGCAGAAAGGTGGGCAGCCACACACCAGGATGCTATTTTTAGAGGGCATGAGGAGAGGGGATGTAACTTTTTTTTTGGTACTAGGGATTGAACCCAGGGGCACTTTACCACTGAGCCACCTCCCCAACCCTTTTCATATATATATTTTTTTTAATATTTAATTTTTAGTTTTAGGCGGACACAATGCCTTTATTTTATTTTTATGTGGTGCCGAGAATCACACATGCTAGGCGAGCGCTCTACCCTTGAGCCACATCCCCAGCCCTCATATTTTATTGTGAGACAGGGTCTTGCCAAGTTGCTCAGGGCCTTGCTAAGTCACTGAGGCTGTCCTCAAATTTGTGATCCTCCTTCCTCAGCCTCCTGAGCCACTGAGACTACAGGTGTGTGCCACTGCACCCTGCAAGAGATTACTTTTTTCTTCATACATCAATGTTTCTTCATCATGTGATAAACATGTATAACTGCTATTTTTTAAGGGGACTCTTAACTCAAAAGTAATACACTCATGTCATAATAATGTACAGGACCAAGTCCCATTTGCATAATGGACTTTGAGGCCCCCCTCCCTGGCCTCCCTCTGGCTCCCACACTGCCTCCGCAGCGCACCCACCTCCCCATCTAAGGCCCAGCTGGTCACTCACGAGTATCAGGTGGCACTGGGATATCCTCAGGGTCTCTGGGGCTCCCTAGTCCTCCTGGTAACAGCAGGGGGTCAGGGTGCCTCTCATACACTCCCTCACTCAACCCAGAAGATGATCCAGCTGGGGAACACAACAGCATCCCTGTTTACAACCAAGGAACAGTAAAAGGTTAGGACACAAGCTAACCATCACAGAGTCTGGAGAGGGCCAGGCATGGACCCAGGGTTCTGACCCCAAGCCCATGGGCTCCTGCCCCATCACCACCCATCCATCCCTCAGAACTGCAGAGATGAAATCTCCAGCTAATGACCCAGAATATTCACCCAGTTTTTATGAGGCTGGTCACTGCCTTTGCCCTTCATTTCTCCTGCTTCCTAACATCTGCAAAGCAGAAGTGAGGGCAGGAGCCCAAGCAGCTGTCCCAGCCTATGAGGCAACCCTGATGGAAGTGGCAATGGGTAGGACAGCAGGAACTTGGATCCCTGCTGACTGAGAAACAGCCTCTCCGACTCAGGGCTGCTTCCTCCCGTGCCTCCTACACGTGGGGAAACAATTTTCTCTGCAAAGCCGTAGCCGGGGATTCCAGCCCTTCCCAGACCCTGCTCCCCGTTTCCTCTAAGACACGTTCTTCCAGGGCGGCAGCCTCACCTGGCTCCTCCAGGACGTCCGTGAGGCCCTCCACCAGAGAGGCTGCCTTCTTACAGCTCTCGGGGTACTGGGCTACCACCCAGGGGCGGACCCTGTCAGGCAGGATGCCCAGGAACTGCTCCAGCACCAGCATCTCGAGTATCTGCTCCTTGGAGCAGGCCTCAGGGCGCAGCCACTGGCGACACAGCTCGTGCAGCCTGGCCAGGGTCTGGTGGGGACCAGCCGCCTCCTGGTAGACAAACTCCCGGAACCGCAGGCGAGAGAACTCGAGGTCCGCAGGGGTCCTCTCAGGGATGGTCTCAGACTCGGGGTCCTCTTGCTGACTCGTGTCTGCAGACCCTTCTGTGTCTGCAGACCCTTCGGTGGGCACCTCTGGGGGAGTTGGGGAGCTTCTGGGGGAGGCCAACACCTTCTCCAGAGGCAGCATCTTCCCAAACCTGCACTGGAAATATGACTGTGTGGAGCCAAGGGCTCAAAGATGCCAGGGGTGAGGGGCCCAAGGAAAGGTTGACTGCCTCTAGCAGAGGACACACAGTGGTGCCAGGGTCCCCAGGGAAGGTCAGCCAGTGACAGGATCCAAGGACCTGCAGAGGACAGCGGTGAGACAGATGCCCACATGGTAAGAACACAGCTGTAGGGGACCTGAACAAACAACAACAAAGCCGAGGTCTCGGGGTACAACCACAGGCCCACCACACCCAGGTCTCAAGCAGTTATTTACAAGCAGTCTGCTTGTTAAACATCAGTTGAACTCCAGTTTTGTACTTATTAAAAATTATTGGACAACCTGAATTATAAACCTAGATATAAAAAAGCCTGAACACATCATTCATTCCCACTATGCGTATCATATACACGATGTCAGTCTCATGGCATCAGATTTGAACTGCAAGGCCTGTTTCACATTTAACAACATGTATTATGTATGAGCCAGGCACTGAAGTGCACACCAGTGTCCCCAGCCCCGGCAACTTAAGAGAGACTCAGCAAACTGGTAATATTCCTTGTCTCAAAATAACACATAAAAAGTTCTGGGATACAGCTCAGAGGTACAGTGCTTGCCCAGTATTTACAGTATTTTAATCCCCAGTACAGGGGGATGGGGAGAAGCATTACAGGGCTTTAGTTCCCAATAAGATGGGGGGATAGGTGTTGGGATATCTATCATTAAAACAACTAAAAACCTGAAACAAAAGGCATTTAGAAAGACAGTAGGCACAGGCAGCCCACATCCGTCTGGAGGTGGACAGCTCTGCAGATCTAGAGTACAAGGTGGGAGTCATCAGAGGTTGGCTAGGAGTGGGGATGGCAGGGCATGAAGGACAAGAGGAGGCTCTAGTCCTAGCCAACTTTCCCCAACCCCTTAACTCCTAGGCACAGAGGGGCCAGAATCCAGGATGTCTGGGTGAAGCCACTTCATTGTACCTGCTGGCCAACAATGGCCAAGCTAACAGACACGGGCAGGCCATAGTTCGCCTGCATCTGCATGTCCTCCCAGGACCTGGGCCTGAAGATCTGAGCCAGCAGGAGGAAGAACTCCCAGACACCACCACGAGGAGCAAATAAGAAGCTATCTACCAGAAGACAGCTGCCCTTGGAACCACAGAAACAATCGCATCTTTTGAGGAATTCAAGAGAAAACCGTGCATGGGGACTGCTGGGGACTGAGAGCTGCTGACCTTTGCCAAGTCAAGTCAGATCTGTCCGATACACTTTCCCACGAGCATGCAGGCCCGAGGGTCTCGTGGGCAGGCTGGGGGTGCTCAATTCTACTGAGAGCATCTGTCCAGCACAGGTGAATGCAGAGACAGGAAGTGGATCAGTGATTTCTGGGGACCGTGATTTTCAAGGTAGGAAACGACTATTAATGGTTATAGGATTTCTTTCTTGGGTGATAAAAATGTACTGAAATTAACTGGTAACAGGCACACAACTCTGTGAATCACTAAAAACCAATCAATGGTCCACTTTAAAGAGGTGAACTTTATGGTACATAAATTATACCTCAATAAAGTTGTTTTAAAAAAAGAAAAGCTAGGCACAGTGCTTGCACACCTGTAATCCCAGCTACTCAGGAGGCTTAGGCAGGAGGACCTCAAGTTTGAGGCCAGCCAGGCAACTCTCATGCCTCAAAATTAAAAAAAAAAAAAAAAAAAAAAAAGGTCTGGGGATGTAGTGCACTGGTACTGGTAGAGCACTTGTCTAGAATGTGTGAGCCTCAATTCCATCCCCAGCATTTTGCAGCTAGCAAAATAGCATTTACAAATAAGGGCAGAATTCTAAGAGCTATAAGACATTCTACACATGTTCCATTTCTCTCCAGAAAAAAGACCCTCACCACCAGAACCACCATCACCATGATCTCCATAACCACCACCTGGATCGCCATCCTGGCCACCACTATACACACCCTCCATGGCAGTGTCCACCAGGTGTCCTTCCTTGGGCCCCTTTCCCCTGCCTGCTGCACTGAGGGCCCTCAGAACACAGCACCCACTTCACAGCTCAGCACTTTCTAGAACACCCTCATCCCTATGGGTGGGTAAACTACCGCCTTTTCCATTTTCCTTACTGCTCTTCTGTTAGATAATTCACAAGCTGTCTGCCTCCATCCTGCCATTGTCCCCACCTGTGACTCTTCTTTTCAGTCTTTGACCACATGTTATGTTCTAATGTTTCTTACCAATCCAATTTCTTTAAAAAAAAAAAAAAGGGCTGGGGATGTGGCTCAAGCGGTAGCGCGCTCGCCTGGCATGCGTGCGGCCCGGGTCCGATCCTCAGCACCACATACCATCAAAGATGTTGTGTCCGCCGAAAACTAAAAAATAAATATTAAAATTCTCTCTCTCTCTTTAAAAAAAATAAATAAACCTTGCTTGAACATTTGAAAAAAAAAAAAAGAAAAATTCTGAGGGCTGGGGTTGTGGCTCAGTGGTAGAGCACCTGCACATGTGAGGCACTGGTTCAATCCTCAGCACCACATTAAAAAATTGATTAATTAATTAAAGGTATTGTGTCCATCTAAAACTAAAAACAAAATCTAAATTTCTGAGCTCAGAAACTTGCTTAACCCATTTCTTCTCATTGTCCTGGATGTGCAACACCTATAAAAACTTAAATGTAGCATATAATATAATCATAATTATAACATTAATTAAAATAACATAAGCTCTAGATTACAAACGTCAACCTATTTTAAATCACCTGTGTGAAGTCGCTGAAATATTTACAGAACTGAAAACTAGGAGTTAGTGGGTTAAAAGGGTTTCCTTCTCTACCTCATTCATTCTCCTGGGGCAGCTGGCTGGAGCAAAGGGTCCGAGAGGCCAAGGGTGGGCGGCTAAGCTGAGGGGTCGTAAGCCTGGAGGCCTGCCAGAGCCCTGGGCTGCCCAGGGACCCCAGGTGCCTCCCAGAACTTCCAGCACTTAAGGATCCTCACCACAGGCCCTCTATCCTGCCTCCCTCAGCAGCTCCATCTGGCAAGCCCTGCCCCCGTTCCTCCTCAGGGCCCTGTAAACAAAATGCCCCTTTAACACCTTTACCAGAGTCACAGCCACAGGGCTAAGGGTCATGGAAAAAGAGACTCATTGAGTCTCTCCCTGGACTCACCCACAGATGACTTATACATTGTAAAAAGGGGAAATGTACCTTTAAAAGAATTAAATGCACATGCAGGAAGGGATCACCGGAGCATCTCCACTGCCTTCTGTGGTTCCTGCCAAGAACATACTTTCTCTGGCAGGTCACACAGAAGCGAGAATATTGCACAACTGGTCTGGGTCCCCGTGAGCCTCAAGGTCAGAAATACCAAGGCAGCTACACAGCCAAGGATCATAAGGAGATGGATTCAGTGCAACAGGGGTTCTGTTCTGGCTCCAGAGCTGTGACAGGAATGTCCACAGGGCATGTCAGGATAGGAGAGGACAGAGGTCCAGTCCAAGTTGCTGTGAGATCCGATCTGATCTCCAAGAAGTCCTCCCCAATGCAGGCAATATAAGGAGGGGAGGTATCAGAGAAAACAGACACACAAAGGAGGCAGGAAGGAGAGTAAGAGGTGAGGATAAAGAACAAAATACTCCCAGGTGCATCTGGGCAAACAAACAAACAAAAAAAATGCAAGGAGAGTTCTACAACCTTTACTTAGAATTTTCCTATGAAACTTTGTAAGACTTAAAGGAAAACAAAACAAAACCAAGTCTCAGTGGTGCCTGGCAGCCCCTGCTGCCCCTTCAGGGGTAGCATCTGGAAGACTGATGCTCTCCATTCCACCCCCAAGTCCCTAGATTAATGCTGAGACTGGGAACCTTCTTTCCCAAAAAAGGGGTCCCTGGCACCTATAAACAGAACCCACTTGAGGAGGCTGGGAAGAAGCTGGTATCTGGCTGCCTCCGAGTCACTGCCCTGCCCCTCGCAGGGCAGAAACCACCCCAGAGCAGCTAGCATTTACCCTGAGGTACAAGGGATACCCCAGAACTCTGCGACCTTTCCCCACTCCCACCAGGAGTGCACAGCCTGCCTTCCCCTCAGCGAGGTGCACCCTCAGCCCTGCTTCTCGCAGACACCCAGGACAGGACAGCCAGGCCCTCCAGCTCCATACTCCCCAATGTTCAACCTGGCCTCTCCTAGCCGGCTCTGTTCTCCCATAAAAAGTGGGGTACTCTCGACGTTAACCAATGCCAACACCCAACATGAGTGGCTCTGGCCTCTCATCCGCCCAAGTACCTCAGTCTGCACCTTCTCTGAGACACACTCAGGAACCCAGGGCCCCAGGTCGCCCTCCCACCAGGGCCCGACCCCAAATTCTGGGGTCGCGCTTCCACCCAAAGGCCCCGCTCTCCCACCCCGGCCCCAACCTCGGGGCTCAAGCTCCTACCCGAGGGCCCCCGGCCCCACGCTCGGCGATCGCGCTCCCACCGAGGACTCCCGCCCTGGAACCACGCTCGGGGGTCGCGCTCTCACCCGAAGGCCCCCCTCTCCCGCCCCCACCCCAAGCTCGGGGGTCGCTCGCACCGGAGGGCCCCGCCCACCCCGGCACCAAGCTCGAGGCCACGCTCCCACCCGAGGGCTCCGGCCCTCCCGCCTCGGCCCCAGGCTCCGGGGTCACGCCCCAACCGAGGGCCCCTGCCCGCCCACCCACCCCAGCACCACGCTCGGGGCCTCGCTCCCACCTGAGGGTCCACACACGCCCTCGAGGCGCTCTTAGGCCCTTGCCGCTCGGGTTAGCGCCCAGTCCCCTCCCCACGGCGCAGCACTTGGGCCCTACGTTTACAGAAGGCTCCGGAGAGCGCCGCCAGTTAGCCGGACCCACCTGCTGCGCAGCGAATCCAGGCGGGCCCAAGCGGCCGGAGCAGAGCACCGCGATGGCGGCCGCTGATCCGCGCGTGCGCGCGGGGCCACGCATCGGACTACGACCCCCAGAATGCTGTGGGCCGGTCCTCGCGGGCGGGGCGGGGCCGCTGACAGGAGCCAGCCAATCAGGATAGGGCTCCCCTGCGTCGTTCCCAATTGCGCCTTCGTCACTTCGATACCATGGCAACCGGTAAACAAACGCCTATAGAAAAGCGCCCCCGACCCCCCGAAAAGTGAGAGGCGGAGACAAAAGACTGGCAAAGAGAGACAGAAAAACCAGAGACTGGAGAGTGTCCGCCACTAGAAGAGCCTGGGTAACACACGCAGAGAAGGGACCAAGAGTCCTAGAGCCAGGGATGACACACATAGGGACAAAGAAGTAGAGAGGAGACTTTTTTGAATTCAGTTGAGAATTTTAACTCTCATAACACAATCACGACAAAGATTAGTTCTACTGCCCCCTGGGCAGTTAATCAAACCTTCCCCACCCACATCCCCTGGCAGTAATGGATGTGTAGTCCCTGGTACAGGTTTCTCTCTACAGGATGTCATATAGATGTAACTAACAGTCTATGCCTTAAAAAAAAAAAAAAAAAAAAGAAAGAAAGAAAAAGAAAAAGAAAGAAAAGAAAAGAAAAACCATTTTACTTGTAGGTGGGCATAATACCTTTTTTTTTTAATGTGGTGCTGAGGATGGAACCCAGTGACTTGCATGCTATGTGAGCCATCTTTCCTCTGAGCCACAACCCCAGCCTCAGCCTCTTTTGCGTCTGGCTCTTTTCACTGAAGGTAATTAGCTTTAGATCTTCAGTGTGTATCAATAGTTTGTTCTTTTTTACTGTTAAGTATTATTCAATAGTATACAATAATTTTAAGCATTCCCTGGCTGAAAGGCATTGGGTTTTCAATATTTTGCTACTAGAAAATACAGGTGCTATGAACATCCATACACGGGGTTTTGTGTTCAGTTTGGGCGAGATAAATGCATAAGAATGCAACCTCTAGGTTGCATATAAGTACACCAGTATTGTTAAAAAAAAAAGAAAAAAGAAAAAATTCCCAAAGTAGCTGAACCATTTTACATTCCCACCACCAACATATGCATGACTCAGTTTCTCCACATTCTTACTGACATTTGGTGTTATCATTATTGTTCATTTTAGCCATTCTGTATGTAGTCATATCTCACTGTGGTTTTTGATTTACATTTCCCTAATGGCTAATGTTGAGTGTATTTTCTTGGTTATTCGTTATCTGTATATCCTCTTCAGTACAATATCCGCTCAATTCCTTTTGCCTATTTTCTGATTTAAAAAAGAAAAAGGGGGGCTGGGATTGTGGCTCAGTGGTAGAGTGCTCACCTAGCACATGTGAGGCCCTGGGTTCGGTTCTCAGCACTGCATAAAAATAAATAAAGGTTATTGTGTCCAACTACAACTAAAAAATACATATTAAAAAAAGAAAAAGCATTTGAGGTATATTTACATATCTATGAACATGTATTGAATATGATTTGTTCCTCTTCAGTCCCCAGTACTTCCTCTTAGCCTTCCCTCCTCCCTCTCCCTGTTCCCTTTCCTCTACTTTACTGGTACCCTTTCTATTTATTTATAGTACTTTTTAACTTGGTGCTTTACAGATATACATAAAGGTGAAATTCATTACGGTATATTAATATATGAAAATAGCATAATTTTGTGGCTGGGGTTGTGGCTCAGCGGTAGAGCGCTTGCCTAGCA